CGTGGGAACTGAGGATCTTCGATTCCGGCAAGGTTTGGAGATCCATTTCCATGGATGAGATTCTGGGTTGCAGGAAAGAAGAGAACTTGATTTCCAAAACAGGGGACTCTGTTTCGTACAGAGGGGATTTCTCAGGGACACTGTTCGTGGTGAAGGAAATAAGGCGGGAGATGGTCATGATGAGTTCGATTCCGGCGAGTTTCTGGACGGAAATTGGAGGGATTCAGCATCCCAACGTGTTGAAATTGATCGGAGTGCTGCAATCGAGTAAAGGTTTAGGGTTTCTAGTTTACGAGCACGTTGAAGGGAGGAAGTTGATTGAGGTGGTTCGGAGCTTGAGTTGGGAAAGAAGGAAGAGGGTTGCGATTGGTGTGGCGAAAGCTCTCCGGTTTTTGCACGGCCGTCGGTCGGCGAGCAGGTTGGTCGGATGTATTTCGCCGGACAAAGTGATCGTCGACGGGAGAGATGAGCCTCATCTGGAACTGAGCCCACTTGATTTGGTCGGCTATGAAACCAAAGGGTTCGTTTCATCCCCACATTTTGGTCCAGGTAAGAATTCTATTGATTGAAGTTTAGACTGAGCAGTGTTTAGGAAGAGTGTTTTGAATATTTTTCAATGTCACTTTCATTAAATGTTGGTTTATCAGTTTGAATTCGACTCTTAAATTCATATATTTTTTTATTATTTGTCATACATTCTCGAATCGCAAATTTATTAGTGTTTTGCAACGGAGGAACAAAAAATGATAGGATTTTCTTGTCATTGCATTTGCAGAAAGCTTGGAAATGAAGGAAATGAGAGAGAAGAAGGATATCTATGGCTTTGGGCTAATCCTCATCCAATTGTTAACTGGAAAATGCCCGAACGACGTTGAAGCGTTGGGAGTGGAGGAGGGAATCGTGGAATGGGCTCGATATTGCTACTCAGATTGCCATATCCAGACGTGGGTCGATCCCATGGTGTTGATGAAGCAACAAAATGAAGTGGTCGAAGCCATGAACTTGGCTCTCCGTTGCACAGCAGTTGATCCCATAGCTCGACCGTGTGCAAAAGATGTGTTGAAAACCCTAGAGTCGTCTACCTGTTTGCTAAATTCTTGTTGTGCCTCTAATATGTAGTTCACTTGACGAGTTTGCAACAATTGGGCTAAGGTGCAGAGCGGTCGGGCAAATCAATTCCCTACAACCATGCATGCAAAATGCAAACAGTCATCTCATACATGTGAAGTTTATTTTTGGACGGTTGGATGACAAGTTAGCGACAATTTTGTTGTCATCGAAAAAATGGAACGTTTTTAGAAATTCAGTCGCCTCCTACAACTAAAAGGTTGTGTCTCATCACTCATGCATGTTGAGGAAGACCGCTCTACACCGTAGCCTAATAGAATTCGTAGCTTACTATAAATCTTCAGTGTTTAGGAGTTTTCTAGTTGTTTTTATCTTGATCTTTTTTCTCCTTTTTTTTTTTTTTTTTTGGTTGTGGTTTGTTTGTGTTACCCTTTAAGTTTGAAAGAAAAATGGATGATTATTTGTTCCATTTAAGTTGTATCATATTAGGCTTAGCACGAGAAGGTTAAATGGAAGATGGAAAACAGTATGAAAATGATTTAGGTTTGTGGGTTATTGGCATTTTGCTTTAGGGTATTGCTAGATAGAGGTTGATGATTTTTGGTTGAGTGTATATTGTAAACTGCAAAAATATAATGCAACTTACATTTTCTTGGTACATGAATGAAGTAATTGCCACCATAAGAAATCTTTTTAATCTTCAGTTTCCTGCCAATTATATTTTATTTGCACAACAAAAATACACAATTTCATCTACAAAATCAAATCATATTTTTTTAATTATTTTATACGGGTCATTGTTCACATTTATATCATTAAATTTATGACATCTGAATCAAACTACTATACGCTCGTCAGGAGTTGCACCAAATCAGCATATGGCTAAGCACATACCTATATAAAGAAAAATCATCAGAATATGTGTCTTCACAACAACCTCAAGATGCCAATTCTCGCATCAAACCGGTCGGGCAAGACCATCGAGTCGATCGCTAGGTTGGATCGATTGAACCGGTAGGTCGTGGTCCCTTTCCAATTTTGCAAAATCCCCTGTTTTTTCTCTGCATAACTTTCCCTGTTCTTCTCTTCTGTTTGTCTAGTGTAGTAGTGCTCTTTAGCAGTCAAGTCATCATCATCCATCGACCATATATCGGTCTTTCCTTTCTGCCCCCTATACTTCTTTATCAAATTTCATTTTGTCCTTTCATGTTGAGCCGTAACGCCTTTTCTTTCCATAAAGATGATCCCTTTCCTTCTGACAGCTTCATTCTTCGTTTGGCTTTATACACATACATATGGACACTTCTTGATGATGAGTAGCATCACTGGCTAGCAGGAATTGGATCAATATCATGGTTGAAATTACTCTGAATGTACATAATTGACTTCTATGTTTGTCAAGTGGGGTTCATGAACCACTATCCTCTCCACTAGATATATGAGATCTGTGTGTATGGAAGGTGTAGAGAAAGTAAAGAGGAAGGTTAAATGTAATACATTAGTCAAATCATACAATGACAAAAGACGAGAGGGTTCCCGAGATTCATTAGGAATAATTCAACTTTAACTTACAAGACAAAACGTGCTTTGAGGTGAAATGAAAAAAAAAGTTCTTGTAAGAACTCTGAAATTAAACGCACTCAATGTGGAGCAACGCAAAGATGAGTGATCTCTGGGAAGTGACTATGATATGCATCCAAAGCGGACACTAATTTAGTAAGAGAACGGTTGGATGTTTACAAGTGGTATTACAGCCTCTTTGCGACCATCTTGAACGATCGATGGTGGGCAAACCCCAACGAGGACGTCGATTCCCAAGAGGGTGTATGTAACACCTTAAGCAAATCTCACATCGACAAAACACGAGAGATATCCGTAATTCATCATAAGGAACAATCCAACTTTAACTAACAATACACATTATTTAGTGAAATAGAGAAGTGCTTGTAAGAACCCTGAAATTAAACGTAGTGGGAAGTAGTGCAAGAATGAGTGAAATCTTGTCACTATGACATAAGAGGTGAGGAACTTCCCTTATATATATTTCCTGTTTCTCCTTTCCTTTTGGGTTTTGGCCTCTCATGGCGTTCTAGAGGAATGAATGATGCCCTTTGAAGGGTTAATCTAAATCACTTTTGCTTTGGAGGGCATGATTGATTGATTAAGGGCTCGTTTGCTTGTTGGATTTGAAAATGAAGGTTTTGAGTTTTAAAAACCTTTGGATTTATGATGGATTTGTTGCATCATGGATTTGGAAGAGTACATTGTTTGTTTAGTTGATTTTTTATCATGGATTTGTGATGGATTTGTCTCACATTTTTTTCTTCTATTGTCAAATCCCAAATGAAATGTGGGATTTACAAATCCGTGGGGTCCACGGATTTGGATCTAAAAAATGGGTCCAAATCCGTGGACCCCACGGATTTGTGTCCCTCAACAAACAAAGGATTTGTGTCAACTCCATGATGCTTGGGATTTGGGTTTCAAATCCATCATCCAAATCCCACAAGCAAACGACCCCTAAAGTTGCATTTGATCACCATGCATGCATGTCACAGTCTCATGCAGTAACAAAAACAGTGTAATCATTCATTCATTCTACAGCAAAAGTGAAAGAAGCCAACCAGGCTGTGTAATTGCCTTTTCTTTCTTTGATCAAATCATCACCACTTTGTGTACCTCACCTTTTGATGAAGGGATTGTCGAGCAATTGGATTGGTCTGCCCAACCAAAGCAGCTCCCTGCTCCCAACTGCATAAGACTATCCACAATGGTGGAAGGGAAAAAAGGAAAAAAAGGATGGGAAAAGTGGGAAAAAAGGATAAGAGAAGGATAATGGCCACAATAGGTGGTAGGGAAAAAATGGTATTGAGGAGGGTTTTTTTTTTTTCAAAATCAATCTAGAGTTGATATGGTAACTTTATTTTGATAATTTATTCATTATTTTTATATAGGTAGTATTAATTAATTAAGACGAACATTTCGATATAATTTTTTTTTAATTTGGACATAAAAAAATTTATCACTAAAATCCAATAACTCATAAAAATCCAATAAGAAAACCATAAAACAATTTTTAAAAACAAAAAACAAAAAAACCCACCCACATGGTCCCCCCTTCCCTTCCTCCTCCCACCCACCTGGACCCACTTCCCCTCCTTCTTTTAACCTCTAGCGCAGGATAAACCCTCCCCTTCTTTCCCTTTTATCCTTTTTTTCCATAATACCCACCCTTATTGTGAGCCATCTTCTCCTTTTTTCCCCTTTTATACTCTTTTTCCCTTCTTGCTGTGGCCAGTCTAATCATGGCTGCGCGTAAGGGTATAATACGTGTGTTTCACTGATTGCGTACTTTATGCATTGGATCAAAAAGAAAAAGAATTGCGTCTGCCGGGAGTCGAACCCGGGTCTATTGCTTGGAAGGCAATTATCCTAACCGTTGGACTACAAACGCTGGTTGTGGAGATAATCGACTAGTATTTAAATCAATCTAAAGTCACAGCAGAGAACCTGAGCATCTTGTTGGTCTAGTAATCCGTTGAAGCTCACTGCATCTTTTTTCGTACGTGATTGATCAGATGGAAGAGCAAAGAAACAATCTAAAATTTCGCAAGGCTGCTGGTTGTTCGAAGCATTCCCCAGTTCGGGTCATCCTCAACCCATTTCGAATCTTTGGTGCTAACCACTATGCGCTCTGTATTGTACAAACGTTCGTTTTTCACGAAGAAGCTAAGCACACCGCATTGAAGTCAATTGCCATGTTAGGACCGTTAAAGAGTTATTGCTGGTTTGGTTGCTTTTTGCTGCATCTTTGGAGCTAACCAATATCCCTCGAGAAGGAGCATTAGGGGGCTATGCTTTTTCAGTTTGATGAAACGAAATGATCCTCTAGTAGCTAGCAGAGTAAGTTTTCACTCTCTGCTTTGGATGCCTGCTAGAATTTTTAAGCTTCTAGCCAAATTTCACTTTTACTCTACTGAATCATAAGTTTGCAGTACAGGTTCCTGATCCTTTTTTGTTACAAGTATGTCAGGGAAAAAAAAATAGAAGAGTGCACAATGTATCAGTTTTTGAGATCATTTGAGTCTGTTAAAGCAGAGCAAGCAACACACAGATAACATCATACAAGGGAATCTTCAGTGCCTTTTGTCCTGTGGCAGCGCGATGAAACTGAAAGCCTGTAGAACCAGTGGCAACTTCGCAAGCATACTACATACGACATGTAATCTATCGACGCAGCTGTGTCTATTTTCCATTTACATACTCGAGGAGGAGCCTGTCGAGTTCAAAATGTCGAACAATGCGTCCCTGCATGGAAAATAACAATGATCAGGCATCTCATGTTGGAATATACAGTCTGAAGTCAAGCAATGACCAATCCATACATGTACGTGTCTATTATCTTTGACATCGAATGAAGAAGAAAAGGTGTGTGTGTGTTGGGTTGGGGGGGGGGGGGGGGGGGAGGAGGGGGGAATTATGTGATACAGGAGACTTCCTCCTTTAGCATAGGCAATGGATGAGAAGCTAAGGAATGTTGAGGATATAGTGTTGCATTCATGTTATCGAGAACCAGCTCATCCAATAACTCGAGTTGTGGAAAGAAATTTGATATTTCAACAAACCACTGAGGAAAACAGGCAGAGAAGGGAACTGAAGAAGTTTTCCAAATGTGCAATATGCAAAGCGTACCTTAGTTAAAGGAGGGTAAGGAGCTTTTGCTTCAAAGCCCCACTCTGGAAAACGTGCGACTTCAGTTGCATTTTCGAACAATATATAAGTAGGAAGCTGGTTCATTCCTCCTGCAGGGGCAACCTTCTTTATAGAACCCACTTTGGATAAAATATGAAGAGAAGAAAGACTTGTACCGGATTTCTTTCAGTTATCTTTACCACTAAGTGATATTCCAAATCTCTCTGCAGCATTCGGGAAGAGTCCAAGATCGACTGATCCAAAGGACAAGTTCTTGTTTGAGTATCTGGAAATGGTAGATTATCAGGTCTATCTAAAAAATAAATGGTACTAAGTAAGACATGCATAGACGTTTCTTTGTCAACAGCTAAGGTCTCAGCAGCTACAAAAAAAATTGAGAACGGAAAACTAGATTAGTGAACATACGTGACAGAAAGTTCAGGAAAGCAACGACTTGTACGTATGCAAGTAGAGGAACACTGTGCACGAAACTCTACCTGCAACATAAAGCCCAGTCAAAACAGGATTAATCAAGCTCTTAGAGGAGATACCACTCACCAATACAATCAATAGGTTTCACTTATCATATCCTAGTACCAAGAGTTCCAGTGCATCCAGTTTACACATGACTGATTAAGACATAGAATGCATGACAAAAAAAAAATTACATTTAGATTCCTCTCCCAAGAGAAACTGGAAGACCCGGAAACTGACCTCTCTTTCACAACTCTAACAAACAATGAGATAACCAACGTGCATTGGCGTGTCATATAACCAACGAGTTGGTAAAGGAGAATGCTTAATCAATTCTTACAAATTGAACCGTTTCTAGAGCAACCAATCTACTTCGATAAGGTAACCGTTACATATTACAAAACACATTGCACAAAAAGATCAAGGACCAGTAAAAAGCAACCAACCAACCAGTATCTTGACGTATGCCCCTCTGTCAACAAGGTTTCCAACTGCAGAGGTGTTAACTTATTCACATCACCTGCAAAAGGAAAATTAGTTAAAATACCACGACAAGACCATAAGAATCTAGAATCATAAATGGTAATGCTAGATGCTCAAATATAATAACAGCCCATTCGACTGTTAAGTACCTAGTTCTTCGAAAACAGGTTGTTGTGCTAAGAGATATATCACTGCAAAAATGCGAAAGCCAGTCCAAGAATCAATGACCCTCTTCGCAACTGAAGAGTCAATATTACAATAAAAGTAGCAAGAAAACGAAAGGAAAGGCGGACTACCTGAAAACAACACTGTATACCAAAGAGCCAGATGGTAATCCAAAACCAATGAAATGGCGATGAGAAAAAGCTGAAAACCCCCCATTACAGGATTCATTCAAAGTGAGACGAAACAAAACCAGGAAATCAAAAGGAGAAGGAGAGCAGTGAAGAATTCGTCAATCCACACCTTGGCATAGAAGATGGTATCAGCGATAAAACCCTCCCAAGTTTCTTCTTTCACCAACTGCCCAAAATCCATCATCAATCAGCTCAGCATTCAAGATTGTAGCAATCAAATCAACGTCATCCTTTAAACCCGGTTTCATTTATCAGATTCATCGATCGATTTTAAGAGGTACCTTGACAGCAGCTAAAACGGCGAATCCGAGAACGGCTTGAATCTCCTGCACACAGATGATCAATTTCAGAAACCCAAAGAAAGGAAGCTGAGAGGATCGGAGATGGATACGGAGAGGGAGAGGGAGCGCGAACCCGACGCAGGAAACGGAGGGACAATTGAGGGGAGAGGACCTGAGTGGCGGAGCTGCGAACCACAAAGTATGAGAAGAAAACTAAGAAATGGAAGAGATAGTGTGGCTCCGACACAATTTTATTCAGCGCTTCGAACGCATTCATTCCGCCGCCAAGCTTCTTCTTCACCATCTTCTCCGATCTCAAGATCTCTCTCAGCTCACTGCGATGGCGGTTGGTTCAGGTTGTTTCAGTCTCCAACTCGGCAGTTGCTGACTTGCAGTTAAGCCGCTCAGCGCTTAACATCTGCAACTTCATCGTTTTCGTCCGTTTGGCTTGGTACAGAGAGACGGCCCACTCATATTCTCCTACATTTCAAAGCCCAACAGGACACACAGACAGGCCCAAAGTTTCAACCGGGCTAGTCAAAGCCCATTTCGTCTACGAAATTCACCCAGCCCACATAACACCCATATCCGGATATCCCTACTAAGTACTACTAACCAACGAACAAAGGGCAGGAGGACAGTCACGTGACTAATGAGAAAACTGGTGACCACCACGTGTTGAGCTTTGAAAAGAGGTGGCCGCCGGCGGCGAGCGGGTCAGCCGGCGAACAGAGTATAAGGGAGGCATTTATATTATAAAAATCAACATCGTCTCCGGGGATCCGATTGCCGGAAGTCCAATTGACGAGGGTGCGTGGTGGGATACTGGGATTGATTAAAGAATAATAATTGACCACCGCTGGTTTGGGGGGTTTCTTTTATGACACGATTGGTGGAACGAAGAGCCAAATCCAATCCCACCACCACCTCTGTCACATGCTCTCCTGACAACCTCCCCACCCTCTCTATCACGTGCGATTCCGGGACAGCGTGACATGGTGGCGAGTTTACTGACTAGTGTGGGTAATGAGTCTTCGCAACCCATATATACAAGGAAAATATCCTACTCGCCGGAGTAAATGACGGCGGCTGCCGCCACTCCTCGCCTCCATCGGCATAATGCACCGCCACCTTATCTGATTCGACTTTGGTGTAGGGTTTGTATATGTGTTGTTGATTGGGCGCGATAAATAACGGTACGAGTTAACTCAATATGTGCAAGTACGAGTTTATGAGTCTTATTTATTTTGTTAGTTTTACAATTAGCCAGTTATAGATCGCAATCATTCTGGTCATAAACTATGTAACTGATAAAAAAACGTAAATACTTAATTGTTAGAGGGATAGTCAGATTCTATATAAAGAGGCTTGTTGTAGTAAAATAAAATAAGATATTTATATTGAAGTTTTTCTAACAACTCAAATTATCGGACCGTAAATGGTATAAAATATGTTTAAACACCTTCGAACATTAATTTAGAGTTATATATTGAAAATAAATCATTCATGACACCCATTGACAATTTACTACACCATTTTAGTACATTCTACTGCCAGCTGCTTCCCCGTTTTCTTACGTACTGTTATTACCAGGATGTTTGCGAGGTAATTAGGCACAGAACCGACAACACCACCTGTTGCAGGTAATCCCAAGAAAGAAAATTTGTTAGGTTAGTGGAGAGCTAGCTAGCAGAGGCCAAAGTCCAAAGGCCAGGTAACTAATTTGATTTTATCTTTGTATTCTTGTAACGTGTACTCAACTGTAAGAACTATATGAAAAAGAAGTAAGAACTACATGAAAAGAAGAAGAAGAAAAAAGTTCATCTCTTTGCATTCACTATTTATGTATTGTTTCTTTGCTGTGATGGATGCAATTTTCCATAGTTTTTTTACTTTTGTTTCAATGGGATGAAATATTTGAATTTTTTTACATATTTAATTCTTTCATCTGTAAATTTACCATATATATTCGAGCAAGGATAACATCAGCTCCATATTACAAAGTTGTATCACTCAGTACAGGGTTAGGAACAAGTGCAAAGGTATCAAGTTTGATTGATTGGGAAATGACAATGCAACCTATTACATTCCAACAGATTGGAAACGATTGTGGCAGCTGAATAACTACCTCCCAAACTATGTGTGTTTGTCTGGAAATGAGGAGTAACATGATATCAACAGGGGCAAATTTAAGCAAAAAAAAAAATCAAAGAAATGTGTGACTAATGTCCATTATGTGATTTATCTAAAACTCAGTCACATATTACCACAGCTTATGATTTGGCGGGAAGAGTGTGAAGACCAAGCACGAGTGGGATCTTTTTCAGGATGGAGAAGATCGAAATTGTGATGAGTGGCTGATTCAGGATTGTTGAAGAGGGGTGTCGTCTAATGAACGAGTATCAACTATAATTAAACGACACATGTGACGTCTCAGTTCTCACACTGCCTGTAAATGGGTAGAAACGAGAATCTGATTTTCCAGGCTCCTGTTTTTCTTATTTCCATTTTACCAGGAGATTGTAATGCTTTAATTATGCACTAATGAGATTTGAGGCCCGTTTATATAACCATCGGCTCCAACCCCGGCCTACCCCAAGTCTCCCAACTACACTACATCAGTACCTCGTCCAATTTCTTTCTTTGGACCGACCTTATACATATTCCTGCTACTAACCTCTTCGAACTATAGCTATTCCTTGATGGCAAACGGGAAAAAGAACAAAACCCAAAGGGATCAGAGATTAAAATGTTTTGGTGGCAGGAGAAGTTAAGCACGTTGTGGAGATCGCAGCCGCTCATCTCACAGAAGTCGCGCTGTAAATGCAGTCCGTCGTGCTCACTGGTGGTGGAACTCAGTTTAATGTTAATCATCTGATCAGATAAATTAATTAAGTTGGATGCTGCAGGGAGTGTCAGGTGTTTGCTTTTGATTTCTTTTAATCACCTCTTAATTAATTACCCTCCTTTTCTAATTGATTAATTAAGAACCTTGTAAATCCTTTTTTCTTTTTCAAGTGTAAAGAAGAAGCTAAGCTAATGAGTTGGGATCGTTGTAAGTGTCAGTGTACCTTAGTGGCAAGGTGAGAAATATAATATTTACTACATGCATTAGTTTCAAATTCTAAGATTAATAAAACATCCAAAAAAAGAACCTTAATTATAAAGTAATATTGTGATGGTGTTTCTCTGTACGTTGGTAATTCTGATTGTTGATTTCTTATCTTTCACATCTATTTTCCATGATGTATGACATTCGTACGACCACAATAATTATCTCGATCAATTGATATACTTGTAAAATAGTTAATCAAATAATATCACCTAATACTAATGTTAACTATAATTGATAAGATATTATTGAATAGTAAGTACAAACAATTGCATTCTATGAACATAAAATTCTCAATAGTGATTAGTGACTCTTGCCCTCATCTTTGCACCTAGAGCTTTTCTCTTCTGTTTTTTGTCCAAGTTGCTCCTTTCTTTATCTTTTTTTTTTTTTTTTTACAGTGATTGGGGAATGGTGTAATTTTGCGGGAAATTCACTTTTCCTCGTCAAAATGGCACCTCCATATTTGTAGCTGTCCTCTCTGTCCCCCTTCTAACGCAAACCCAAAACTCTCTCTCTCCCTCATCACTGCCTACAACCTCGCTTTCCTTCCTTCCTTTCCCCTTCTCTTCTTCCCCCATTGCTCTCTCTCTCTCTCTCTCTCTCTAACTCACTTTCTTCTCCACACTCCACTCCCTCCCTCATTCCTCCCTCCATTTTCCCTTCTCCACATCCATCCAGCAGAATAACGGGGGGAAATTACCCACCCCTGAAAATATAGCAATTACTTACAGGAGGAAGAGAAATTAGACAAGAAAAAAAAAAGGGGTCATGGAAGAAGCACCAGAATTGTACCAATCCAACAATGGCGGAGGAGGATTCTGCACTACCACTCCTCCTCCTTCTTTTGGCGGGAGTAATAATAGTGAAAAGCATTCTAGTAGTATCGATAATTCCAAGCCCAGTACTGGCGGTGGAAGTGAGCATTTCGTCGTGGAAGACCTCTTGGATTTCTCCAACGAGGACGAGGAGGACGACGACGCCGTACTCGCCGACACCACCACCGACTCCTCCACTGTTACCGTCGTTGATAACAGCTGCAATTCCTCCTCCTTCTCCGGCTCCGACCCTCCCTCCGGCTTCAATAATCATCCCCCTCTTCCTCCTCCTCCGGCCGCAGCTTTCTCCGACTCCCACTTCTCCAACGACCTCTGCGTCCCGGTAATCAATTAACCCATTTCCCCAATTTAGTCGATGTTCAATTGTATACCCATTTCATGGAACGAGTCAATTCTTTCTGTAATTGCGTGAAACAGAGAGCGATAATTTCCATTAATTCAGATTGACGGAATTGCTATTTATCGAGGGATTTTTTTCTTTTGTCTTTTCCGGGGGACAGTACGATGATTTGGCGGAGCTGGAATGGCTATCGAATTTCGTGGAGGAATCGTCCTTCTCGAGCGAGGACCTGCAAAAGCTGCAGCTCCTCTCCGGGATTAAATCCCGCCGCACCGACGATTCCTCCGCCATCACCACCGGGAACAACAACAGCAGCAACAACCCCATTTTCGACGCCGACGTCTCCATCCCGGCGAAGACGAGAAGCAAGCGGTCCCGCACGGCAGCCTGCAATTGGGCGTCCCGCCTCCTCGTTCTCTCCCCGACTTCCTCCACCTCTTCTTCCGCCGCTGAACCGCCGGAAATCACCGTCGCTCCGCCCCCTCCTCCCCCGCCGGCGCTCCAGCCGCCGCCGACGGCGGCGGCGTTGTTCCACCACCACCCGGCGATGATGATGACGACGGCGAAGAAGACGGTGAAATTGACGGCGCCGAAGAAGAGAGACGGCGGCGGGGGAGGAGGAGGGAGCAACGGCGGGGAGGGGCGGAAATGCCTGCATTGCGCCACCGACAAGACGCCACAGTGGCGGACGGGCCCACTGGGCCCGAAGACGCTGTGCAACGCGTGCGGGGTGAGGTACAAGTCCGGGAGGCTGGTGCCGGAGTACAGGCCGGCGGCGAGCCCGACGTTCGTGCTCACGAAGCACTCAAACTCCCACCGGAAGGTTATGGAGCTGCGGCGGCAGAAGGAGATGATGAGGGCCCACCACCCGGTGACCACTACTACGACGTCGTCTTCGCATCATAGTCAGCACCAACAGCAACAGTTCCTGCACGGCCATTCTCATCATAGTAACCAGCAGCACCACCATCACCACCATCAAAGCATGGTGTTCGATGTCTCATCCAACGGTGGAGGTGACGACTACTTGATTCACCAACACGTGGGCCCCGATTTCAGGCAGCTCATTTAGAGAGGGCCCTATTTTTTTGGGGTTTTTTTTTGTTTCTTTTTTGTCTTAAAAATTAAAATTAGCATAGGCGGAA